GAGGTAGAACTTAATTGCGACTGTCTCGCTCTATATATTTCTCCGTATTCCGTTAATAGCAAGCCGGACCTGAGACGCTAGGATTTCGGAAATCTAAAGTTAACTATAATTAAAGGTGCCGAATGCATTGTTGTATTGGCTAGCATTAGTAGAGAATGTATGCGGCTCCTCTCCGTTGCTTTGCGCTGGGCAAGATCAACGTCCTGCTCTAGGCTCGCGTGCTCGGCGCGTGCATCAGGAGTCTTTTGTGCATAAAGTAACTCCGGGTCAACTGTGCTGTGATCCGTTCACGGTGCATTAGCGTGATCCCAATGTGACCATACTGGTGTGACTAAGATAGTCACGGGGACGGGAAACCGTCCATTTATATATGTTTACTTGGTTACGACCCTCTTTGTACATAGAACAACATACACAAAACAATCAACTCCCATTAATTACGCGAACATTGAAGCATCACTTATAAATTAAACCTCATCCTAAATTCACCCGGGCGGCACCCACCCGACAATTGTCTGCACATAAGCCACACGCTTGCCAGTTAGTAGTATGGTAGGTAACCATATGAGAATCCTGGCTGTTGTATGTCGGTGCTCACCCGTTTTTTGGTTGAGAATAGTATTTAAATCTTTTCATCCACTGTTGCTTTACGCTTCTTAGTTGAGAAACGCATCTCGGTACTGGCAATAAGTGTGTTGTATAACTTTATGTAAGATCGAACACCACCCCTATTCTCTTCGGAGGCATTGAATACAATATCCTGCGTCTAATTCCTTGGGAGCCAATTCTGAAAATGCCATCTGAGCGCAATCAACTGCAGTCTTCAACATGTCTTGACTCCTTTAATTCACAAGTAGTGAGTGTATTCCATCTGAATGAAATTAGATCTGACTTTCCACGAGGCTACTGCAGATAAAAGCCAGAGTGAACCACGCTTTCAGATTTTTTAAAAAGATGTATTCTGCTATATTGAAACTGCCCTTTAAGACAAATCGAGTCATTCCCAGAACATTAAATGGGGTGCCCGTTCGCGAATCTTACCGAGAATCTGGGGAATGTGTATAGAATGAAGAAAAACTGGAATGCACCTACTGGTCTGACAGCTCATCATCGACGGAGTATTTCCATCTCTTGACCTTTGCCACTCCATCTTGAGACTCTTAATATTGTATAGCGGAGCAGAACTTTGCTACCATATCTTATACACGACCACGGGGTCATTATCCGGGCTGATGGCGTTTAAAAATTCAAATCATTGCATAGCGACCAGTCTGTCTTTGTATAAGAAGACGCTTTCTTATTTCTATAAGTGGTGAGCGTGATGGTATTCACATTCTGACTTTACTACTGGAATATCTCCGTGTTAGATGACGCAGGAGCTATCTCTTGAGACAGCCTCCTTTTCTATAGTTTTTGTTCGCCATCTTACTTTTAATATAGAAGTACATGTTTATCATCAACCTCCCCTTCGTTCCGGATATTAATTTACCCCTTATATCAAGGCTATCTATCGTCCGGTTTATGTCGCGTGATACTGACTGAGATTTAAGATATAACTTAGCCCTCGATACTAGCGTCCGTGGCTAGTATTCAGCCTACAATCTTTCCGGTAATTCTAGGCGAGTTAGCCGTCTAGTCGTTGGTATTGGCAAACGATAGTATAGAATAAGAGAAAGTATATACAAGTGCAACAGATTATGAAGAAATTACTTAAGAAAAGACTGACGTTACTTACCAGGGCGGTCCGTACAAAGCGCGCTTTGAGCTCTAATATATAAAGGCTTTTAGAATATCGAGATCCTGAACGAACACAGCGCTGATGTTAACGCATAGGGCGGAAAATTTTAGCAGCGCGCTGGAGAGGGCTTCTATACTAGGCGACAAAGATGATATATAGATCCTTCTGGACAGCAGCGCTTATACTAACGCTCAGCAGATAGACTGCTGAAGACTGAGCGAAAGATATCAGTTACCTTCGATTTGAGGTCAAAGGTGCCATGACGTACTTAAGATGCACTGCGGGTACTGTGTCTTTCAACACTATCTCGGAGATCATGACGGATGAACAGTATAATTGGAGTGCGAGCTCTATTGTATAAATTATCTTGGCTGCACTTGTGGGGAATTTTCTTGGTTAAGCAATTCGTCACGAGCCATGAATGTGACTAATTGATTTTATTAGAATGGGTGTCAAGTCACTTCCAGATTGGGTCGTTCTCGTCCTGGCTGGCCGGAATCAAGATTACAAGGAGCCTGAAATGCGTATCTGGGCCTATCTATTTGCCTGCTGCTTTGCTGCCGTCGGATACATGACCTATAGCTGGACTTGGAAAAGGCAGCCTCGAGACTCAAGTAATGCTCCATGTCTATAAAATAGGTAACCATGGAGAGGGGGTACGTTAGTCCTTTCTTGACCATCAAGGCCAGCTAATGATACTAATTAATACTAGTCTGGAAGCGGCGTTGGCAGAAGTGGAAGCGAGCCGGCTGACTCGGGATCCGGACCATTGACTAGCAATGCTAGCACGTACCACGGCTATTCAACAAGAAAGGGAAGACGGCAACTCCGTGCATGTTGCGAACTCTAAGGAGTGGTAATACTAGGCCCACACATGTTACATATAACTGGTAGCGGCTCGCTTACTCGGGACTGGACGTCTAGGCCGAGAAGGCAAGCCGCCACTAGTCACGTCGCGACATAGGGAGCGGTGGGGCGATTATTTTGGGGTGGCGGATCTCCCGGAAAACCCCTAACGGCCGCGCATTGTTTTAGGGTCCACAAGGGTCTACTCCGTATTAGGGACTAAACTAGCGCGAAGGGATTATTACTGATCTCGGTGTACGGAGTGGTTACAAGGAAAAGATGCACGTAGATACGTGTAGTTTAGCCCCGGCGCAAAAGGCATAAGAGACCTAGACATGTATAATACGTGTGACCAAGCTTCATGACTCCTCGATGTCACGGAGTTGCCGTCTTCCCTTTCTTGTTGAATAGCCGTGGTACGTGCTAGCATTGCTAGTCAATGGTCCGGATTCCGACAGCAGGAATTACTCCGGTAGAGACTATCCTCGAACCTCCTCTTATCCACGGCTTATCTTTCTGCCCTCGCTACCGCGATGGTTACATTAGCTCTGAGCTAGTCGTTTCACTCTCTTAGCGTTTCGAACTACAGCTCGTGGTGCAGCTTGCTTGGTTGCATTCTCAATGCCAAGCACATGTAGTCCTGGAGGTTTCTCAGGAGCAAGTCGGCTGGCCCTTCTCTCACTCTGTGTTTGCGTCTTGTTGAGTCCTCCCAACGGCCAGAAAAAAAATTGGGAAGGCCGGATAGTCACGTGACTAATAACCATAGTACAGTGTTTGCCCCTTTAGCTTCCTCATTTACTCCCCGCCCGAATGACCTGAGATATCCAAATTTCCTGGAAAGCCACCTTATACACTATCGCTATTCTTTCACCGTGTCCCGCTTCCAATGTGCCAGCGTCTTCGACGCTGTCAAGGTCTAATGGCTTCCCCTATTCTCAGTATCCCTCCAGAGGTTTTACGCGCGGTTTTTGCATCCCTATCGCGCAGCGATCTTTGGGCGGTATGTCTCACGCATAGGTACTTTCGCACTCTTGCGGAGTCATTTCTCTACGCCCAAATTCAATGGATATGGACAAGCTCTCAGAATCCCCCGATTGCTCAGTTTTTGCGCAGCATTGTGCATAGGCCTGAGCTCGCCAGTTTAGTCAATGTTGTGATCCTCACTGGGAACAGTTTCGATCACGATTTGCGTGGCTATAAACAGAAGAGTCTTAAACTGCCAGTCACTGAAGTTGTCTTAGACGGATTGGTGAAATATATCGAGAAGATCCATGTTCCATATGCTGCACAGTGGATCCAAGAGTTACGCGCCGGAACAATGGACGCGTTTGTTACACTTTTAGTGTCACAGCTCCCCAATCTGAGATGTCTATACCTAGACAAGAATTTTGCCCGAGAGAGCCGCCTTATGGGCATGATGCTCCGTTCAGCCCTCTGTGAGGAGTCCCAAGATAGCCATCTCCCATCTTTTACACATCTCCAAGATGTATCGGTTGTGTATCCCGGCCTCGGCCTCGAAATTCGCAAATACACAGACTTTAGGAACACGGCAGACGTCCTACCTCTCTTCTATATACCGTCCGTTGAACATATAGAAACTTTCATCGATAACCCGGCGGCCACTTTCAAATGGCCTGGGTCCGATCCACCAACTCCATCGAAACTCATATCACTTGATATAACGATGCTTCGCGAAGGGCATCTCGGTCACGTTCTATCAGCCACCCGAGGGCTTCAGAAACTTCAATGGGATTGGTACTACCGCCCAGATCTTCGAGATCAGTCTGTCGGAAATATTATCGATTTAGACCAAATCGCCCTAGATCTATCTCACGTCCAAGAGACTTTGACGGACTTGACTATTACGGCAGGATCGAGCCTCTCCCAAGCGGAACCCGAAAATCCGACAGTCACCTTCCGGGGGTCTTTCAAAACCTTTAGCGGACTCCATATGCTGAGAAAATTGGAAGTTCCGGTTGTATTCCTACTTGGATTTTCTCCATTTGAGCCAAATGTGGTTTGCCTACAGGAAGCACTCCCAAAATCTATCCAGTGGCTGACTATGACTGACGATCTGTGTCTCCAACAAGAATGGGAGTGGGAGTGGGAAGCCGCACATCTATTAGGAGCTATTCGATCATGGCTTCAAGACTGGAAGAATTCCACACCTCACCTCCAAGGATTTCGTTTATCATCGACGGTGATGAAAGTGCGGGATTGGGATCCCGCGATGTTACAGGGGCTCAATGATTTAGGTTTACAGTCAGGAATTCGGGTCCTAATAACTGAAGTAGAAAGAACTAAGTGGCCAGGTCAAATTTAGTTATAGCTCCAGCGGTAATACCAGTGTTTCTACCCCGAATGACTCTGCCGGCCACTTTTTGTTCTCAAAATATCTCTAGTGGCCAGTCTAATCCTAGCCAACGAACACTCTAGGCGGACCCCCGCATAACTGAATCTGCTCCTGACGGATCGGGCCTCCTGCAAGGTTTGCCAGAGTGTAGGGCTCAGAAGGCGTGTCGGTACTTAAGACTTTAAGCCCCTGGTCGCTAGTGAAAAGATTGCATCCCCAAAAGTCCTGCGCATTTATCAGTTGGTCCTTGCGAAATATATACAGACGACATGGGTTACTTACCTCCTCGCCAGTTCCACATGGATCTGTCTTAGCCCAAGTACGCACTTTGACCCAAGTGGCAATTCTGGCTTTTTGATCTTGCAGGTTCTTGCCGTTATTTTTATAATATAGATGGGCAGCCATAGGCTCTGCGCAATTGCCCTTGTTCTTGTGCGTAAGCGTCTGATCTTTGTCAGATGAGCTGATATCTCTCCAGACTATTTGGCAACGCTGAAGACTTTCGCCGACCGGAGTTTCGCCGCTACGAAAGTCATAGGAGAAAGAGCCTGCTCCTTTCATCGAGGAGGCAAGGATTATTTCGTTACCCCATGCCAGAATTCCCATGGCATTAGGCTCGGCCCTTGGGACCATGCCATATTGAATTCGGTCGCGACTCATTTCCTCGATGGCATCTTGCGCGATCTGCCAGAGCTGCCCGTCTGAGATCGCCGGCTGGCTCGCATCAGAATCCCCGACAGGACTCGCGAATACAATGTGGGTGCTCCATTGCCAATTGCGCCTGATATTGGTATTTTGGAGGTCCTGCCGCGTGGGCCAGGTTGTTGCAAGGCCATAGTCGAGGGTCACCTTGAGCGGGCCAAGCGGCTCCTTAGGTGCCGAAATGTCGTAAACACCGAGTGAAGGGTTGACAGCGAGGAAGGTCCCAACGACGAAAAGACCGACATTTCGAAGAGATGGGAAGAGCATCGTTGGAGGCGAGCACTTGAGTTGATTGTAACCGACGCTGAGCTAGAAAGATATGAGCCACTATATAAGTTACCGATTAGTAGAGTGGATACACTTACGAAATGACAATAGCTAAGGGCTTGAAATAGGTCTTTTTTGTCATGCAAGCTGGTATGTTTCTATATTCATACACAGTGGAGGACGACAGTAAAGGCTTTCTCTTAGAAATGAGTAGTCTTGTCGACGGAAGGAATAATTTTGTTCGGAGATCTTCGCACTCTCCGTTAATACCACCACCGAGGGTCAAGAAAGCCATTATTAGCTTGCCACGGACTTATTACTTTTTATGTACTCCGTACCGCTCAGGCTTATACCTCAGGTCATCAACAATGGGGCTAAATAATCGGTTAGAAACATCGGGTACACTACAGTACTGGATTCCCCTAAAAATCTCTGCATGAGACAGCGCTTAGTCCTATTGCACGGCCCCCAAACGACCCAAACAGCTTTCTTTGCCAACCTTCCTCGTGCTGAAACCTAGCAATTCAGGAAACTGGTTCATGAAAATGAAGCCATCATGCTTTGAAGAGGGCAAGAAGAGAAGAGCAGAGCCACTCCTAATTACACATAAGTCGTAATTGTCGATCGTAATTGTTAACTGGGCGGATGCATCTGCATATCTCAACGACTCATTTAGCGCGGACTAATTTAGCGCGCTTTGTGGGTCAGCTGAGCGACGAGAAATATGTATTTACATTACGCGAAATTGAATGTAACCTTCAGTTATTTCTTCATCAAGCGCACTACCCAGAAACCGCCACCATTCAGGTACTATAATCTGTGGATCTCGGGTCCATGTACGTATTTCTCTCAAATTTTCAGCACGCGAGGGTGGCAAGCAAAAAGGATGAGGGTTTCTAGATCGATAGGAGAAAGGAGCCTAGGCCGAACCGACATATTATACTACACTAACCTCGTCATATTAGAGAGTAATCATGGTTATAAGAGCTCCCTAATTCGCTTGAATTTTGAGCCATATTGAACTCCTGCGAATTCCAGTCTCTATTTCCCCATTTTCTCGTTTCCTCCTCTGCTCCTTATGCAGGGGCAACCATGGCGTGCCCTGGTGGCTATTGCTACCCTTGGGAGTTGGGCGCTTGCGAATCCTCTTAGCTATTGGAACATACTAGGAAATGCAAGCTTGGATACCGATCGTTTACTGGCGAGAGATACAACCGAATTCGACCAGACAGATCTTTCCTTCATCACAACAATGGCTGCCATCGGCGACTCCTACTCAGCTGGAATTGGCGCTGGTGACCGGCTTGGGACCATTGTCGAAGCATTGGATGCAGAGAGTGGTAAGAAAATCTCTGCCTGGCTCGAGACGGTAGCACGTTGACTGATAGATATTCCTGCCGCTGAAAGATTGGGCGTGCAGTCGCTATGATCACGCATATCCTTACTTGATTCATACTGATGATCGGCTGGGCGATCCAGCAGCACGCACGTTCCAGTTCAAGTCATGTTCTGGTGCAGTCATAGCTGATGTCATCAAAGACCAGATCCCTAGTATCAGCAGTAACCAGCAGGTCATATTGCTATCAGCTGGTATATAAAGCCCTTAAGTCTTCCCCAAGAACGGAACTGACATGAGTGAGCTTTTAGGTGGCAATGACGCAGAGCTCTCAAACATCCTGAACCAATGTATTTTCCAATGGGCAGTACTGAGCTCCAGTCAAGTGATTGTTGCAAAATTAGCCGCTCTTGCAGATTCAAATTACGCATGGGCCAAAGACTTCGACTGGGACTCATTAGGCCTTGGCTGCGATGGGCAGTTGGCTCGTACAAGAGATCTTATTGCTGGGGATGCCTTCAGCAATAGCCTAGATGCTGTAATCTCGGCGGCAAAGGCAAAGCTAGGATCAGAGTTAGTAATAATGCTTCATAATTGAGGTCTGAATGCTAACAGAAGATAGTGGAATGGTCTATTACACTGGGTATGCGAGATTATCTTTCTTAATTTTCACATTGTTGACAATAGTCAAACAGTTATGCCAAATTTTTCGCCGAAGATCTTTCAGCCGCATGTGACAGCGTTAGCTGGTCAACTTGGATATACGTGAGTGATCTCCATGACGCTTATTATATATAGCACTAATCATATTTTCGGCTAGAAATTATACAACATATTTCAGGGAGTTCAGAAACTCACGCGAGACCACCGTAAAACAATGAATGACCTTGTCGATGCTGTCAACTCTCAAATTGTTCGTTTGACCTTTATATTCAATCTGGTCAGGTTGTCACTAATTGGATTGCTCTGCAGTCGGCTGCAGTCCAAAGAGCCGGCGCTCAAGTCAAGTTTGTAGACTACGACTCTTATGTAGGGGATTTCAATGGCCGCTTTTGTGAAAACGGTGTCGATGAGTCAACCACTGAAAGCAATACAAGGTTAGTAACTACTCAGTCACACTCACATACTGTGCTAACTGATATGCAAGATCCGGTCTCATGTTCTACGAGCTCGACACTTGGGACCTCCTAGGCCGCAACCCTTGGAAACGAAGCCAGGATAACCCCCTAGAAGGAACCTTCGAGGGCTCTGTGAACCAATTCGCACAGATCACACTTCTGATGGATCCTGACGCTAAACTCTCTGATCAAGATTTTGTGTCCGATGCTTCGACTGACTCTATTGTCGCCTCTAAGATGGCTTTAGTAGAAGATATGTCAGTTTCTGGTTTAGAAATTCCAAATATTCTACCAGATGGGTAAGAAGAGTGCCCAGCGCTTCGACGAGTGCCGACTTTTACTAACAAATGAGAGATAATCAGATACGGGCGCGTGTTCCATCCCCAGATCTTGCTACATGCGTTTATTGCCGATCTGGTCATCTATGAGATGGTCAATAAGAACGAGCAGGACCACGGGTTTCCAGCAATCCCAGAGAAGCTCTCCTTTGACTCATGCCCTTATTATCCATCAACAGGGTCAAATTCTTCAAATGGCGGAGACGGCCGTGCGTATCACCTTGGTATTTTGCGTCAAATAAGACAAAAGTCATCTAATACTCAACCATTATAGAACAAATTGCGGTAGCATCATACATCAACCCGCTCGCTGATCCAGACGCTTGGAATCGTCTGATCGGGTATTCCAAAGCGAAGATGCCCATCTTGATTGCCAACGTCGTGAATGGTCCGGATTCTGCTATCGACCCGAGTTGGACTGACGTTATCGAGCGAGCTTCAGCGTCTGGTAAAACGGTCCTCGGCTATGTAAGAACGGGATATCTTGGCGTCAGCCAACAAAAGTTCCTTACACGACTAGGCTCCAGCGATTTGGCCGACTGGACTGCTCAGATCGAAGAAGATGTTGACATGTGGTACAAGCTTTATGGAAACAGCATTGGTGGCATCTTCTTCGATGAGGGTTGGCCTGAATGTGGCGACAACAATCAATACGTGGACTTATATAAGCACATCAACGACTACACAAAGCGTGCCCACCCTGGCGCACTTACTATCCTTAATCCCGGGTCACCTATGGCATCCTGTTTTGAAGATACTATGGACACATTGCTGACTTTCGAACTGGACTATACGGCTTATACCAATTCCTATACCCCGAACGACTGGACACCAAAGGACCCGCGGAAGCTATGGCATATTGTTTATAATGTGCCAGAATCTGCGATTGATGAGGTAGCCAAATTAGCTAAAGAGCGTGGAGCAGGCTTTCTTCAACTGACCAACGACCTTTTGCCTAATCCATACGACAACTTGCCTAGCGATTCCTACATGACGAGCACGATGAATGCAGTCGATGGTGGATCTCCCTTAAACGCAAAGGCATCATCCTGGGCATCTGGAAGCAACGCAGAAACGGTGTCTGGACTATCGGTCCTAAAATCAGACTACAGTTCCGCTAAATTATCCTGGAATCCGGCCTCCAGTACCTTGGGATATTACGTGTATTCAGGCGACATTGTCATTGCGAGTGTTCCTAGCTCAATGACTGCAATCACTATTGGTGGCCTCCAGCCAGGGACAAGCTATATCTTCAAGGTCAGCGCAGTAGGAGGAGGGGGCAATGTAGGCTCCTCGTCTAACACGGTCACTGTCGATACCGAATCATTACCCGGTGGGCAGACTGTCGCTAATTACCAGTCCTCTCCTGGAGAAGGCTCGACTACAATCCAGGCAGACATCCTGGTTCCTTACGCTTTTATCCGGCTCTATATCTGGGACTCGGTTGGGTGTGAATTCGATACCGATCCGGGATGGAGTGTCAACTTTGAAATTGACGAATATGTCTGTACCAAATACATGGTCGAGGGAACCACGCTTTACAAATACAGTGGCACACTCCCCGAGGGCTCCACAGCTCCACCGTGGTCATGGTCGGTGGTTGGGTCCATAAGTCTCGATATCACAGACTATACCTACAAGTGGATCTTGCCGCTTGGGACTGCTACTATCGACACGAGCAAATTTGTAGTTCAAGCGCAAGGCTACAATCCCCTCACCAATATTTTCGATCCACTCCCCAATGACTATGATTGCAAGGGCTCATCCATGTGCACAACTCCGGATTTTCTAAAGTGGTGCGATAAAGCAGTCAACACGATCCAGCGGGATGACGACGCTTATTATACGTCAAAGTGAGTGAACCTTTTATTGCGTCGTGTCGCTGACATTGATTGATGTTCTCATTCCAAGTCTTCTAAACAAAACATTGCTAATCATATCTCTTTAGTGGGAGTACTCTGACTGGAAATTGTTGGGGTGATCAGACTCGAAGCTGCGGCGTCTTCATCCAAGGTGACGATTGCAGTATTAGTGGCAATGACCTCTGGAATGACTACCAGAACATCCGCAAGATTGGGGGCTGTAAGAAGTGTGGTTCTTATCATAGAGATGATGGCTGTCTGGTTACTATCAACTACGTCTATCAATGTGACAATCACGGCTAGACTGAGATGGCCGACAGAAAAAGAGAACAAAAACTGATATGCAGAGATCTATATAGCATGCGTCTTGTAAATGATTGTCCACGTATAACTTTGTCAACACTTTCAAGTGCTTAGGCTCGCTACCATTCTTAGATTGATAAGACTTGGCACTGTTCAAGTCCCATTCACTTCCTCCACAGCCTTCACTCTCCTCGCTTGACCTTCTTCATCCGTCCCTTCCTGCGCCTCATCATCACTGCCTGCCATCTGACATCCTGACTTTCACACACCTTATAACATTGCCGCAACGCCGAATAGCAATCAACCCGTGGCAGCAACGGATTGGTAGTCATCAGCAGGTCTCAGAAAGAGATATCATATTTTTGTAACTTGAAGCATGGGGATGAATACAGCATGATACCTTTTACCCTCCGGGAGACATCATCTCCGGGCGACAGATGATCTCACAAACCGGGTCCACTAGCATCGACGTCGATCAGGGCACTGTGTTCAATTCCCTCACACTTTTGAAGTATGCATTGATAGGGAATGGGTTAATGAGCCCCCAGTCCATCCAAAAGACGAGCCGAGTGACATAAGTTGGGAAAGGCATATTTTCCAGAGGGAAGGGGTTGGTAACCTGAAAATCACGCAGCTAACAACGTGCACAATACGTAGAAGTATAAAATGGCGGGCTTTTCTCTCCCACCTCTCTCTAAATTTCTCCCCTGATTTAGCCTAAGAAATTTCCACCTACGAGCCCAGCTTATACTGAACAGATGGTCCGACCAGCTCACACAGATGCTATTACTATAATTCCCACGCGGCTAGTATTCCAATAACTACTTATTTTGAGCTCTTATATTTTCCTAGAGTGCTCACTGCCGGTAGTAATCGGCAGTACTCGATAACTGGAAGATATAAATCCTGACGCTTAGGCGGACCGACTACTTAAGACTTAGTGAAGAATATTGGTTGGCTTTAACTCAGGGTTAAGGGTACTATGACGTACTGAAGGTATATTAGCGTGATCCTGCAATGCTCTACAAAAGCGTTCTAATCCTAGTGCGATAAGTACGGACCGCGTAAAGGGATTATTTAGGTAGAAATCCTTACTCCGTCTTTACCTACTCTCACCCCTTTCTCACCTATGTCACCCACACTCACCCTAAGATCAAATCCGACACCATTTTAGAGCTTAGGGTGTATAGAGAATTGACCACTACTGTAATAGGCCTCATTGCGGCCGAGCGGACGGGGAGCCCTGTTATACACATCCTACGGTCATATGTACTGGATCAAAAATTGACAAGAGATATAACCTCTCTATCAGTCTTGAATGTCATTTAACAATGATTAGCGTCACACGAAGGCGTGTGTAGCGAGAGGAACAACGAATCTGCGTAGCGGCTGGCTGTACGGGTGGTCCATGATTTTAATAAAGACTAATGGATCGAAGTGTTTGTAGGTACTAGTACCGAGAAAACTAATTTAGTGAATTAAGTAAAGAATTATCCGAGAGGTCGCTGCCGAAAGGCTCTCATAGCCCGAGGGTTTACCGCACAAAAAAAATGCAGCAATTGGCAGTCGCTGAATTAGCTCATTCTTAGCGGTCCAACACCACCTCTCAGCTCGATAGCTTTCTTAAACCCTATGCTGACCTCCGAACGCTAGGTAAAGACGGAGGCGTTGCATTTGTTACTGTACTTCACGGCAAGCTCCTTGGTAGGGTACACGTAGATCATTGCAATGTATGATCCTCCACGTGAGTCTTTCTGTTCAGCACACGTCTTTTCGAATTGAGAGGTAAATTCTTCCTCCTTTGTTGCCGCAGTGGTCAAGAAGCAATAGCCGTCGCAAAGGCTGCCTTTCACTTTGTCACAAACAGTCTTTTGCTTTTTGTCGTCGGTGTCTTTAAGTTCAACAGGATCACATGCCGCGTTGATATAACGAGTCGAATCAGCCGTGCTAGGATCAAACCATCCTTGCATCACCTGCCTCTATCACGACGCTCCATTTGCTCCCAAGACAATTTTCATCACATCCTTTGTTGGTGCGACAGTCTTGACCAGGAGCGTATTTGGCAGCAGCGAACGTAGCCAAGAGTGTGGTGGCTGGGAAAAGCAGCTTCATTATTGTTTTTTATTGTACGAAATCAGAGCCTGTGAGCTCAGTTACTATATGTATGAATTTGGCTTAGAAGATTTCGGAAACTGACCAGGGGTTCGAAGATGGACTTGTTTGTTTGAAAGTCAGGAATAAGGGTGGAGGTTTTGTTTTATTGGAAGGGAGATGCAATGAGGTTAGGGAGCGAGACCTTCTTATTTATCATGAGAAAGAACGCTCAATATTTCAGAAAGCAAGCTTCTTGCTTGTTCTCATGCCTGTTTTCCTGCATCTCTCACACCGCACATCAAGCTGAAATAGGACCAATCTTATTAAGGTCTCTAGAGATGTGGATGAATTAGTTTAGAGTAAAGATCTTCACAATATAGTGATATGGGATTAGATCGAACAGGTACCGTAGCACTACTTTGGTTAGTCGCAAATTTACGTGGCTGATGGTATATCGTGTTATCCTGTCCGTGTAAGCGACGAAGATCGGGGTACAAATACTACGTATAGGAAAATAAATAGCTAGGTTTACGTGCATAGAATAAGGTCGCTTTGTCACGTAGTAGCTATTTCCAGAATAAAGCAACGATTAGTGTCTTCGTGGACACCAAACATCATTAATATCAGCGCTTCATCGATCTACGCTTTCTGGTTGAGTATCGGCGAGCAGATTAAGCAACCCTATATGATGATTATGAACCGAATTCCTGAGTGTTTTCCTGATCTTGTAAAATCAGCAAATGCGAATTAGGATGTGCTGCACTGATTAGATCACGGTGAAGCTTGCATTTAAAGTTCACGTTAGGTAAATGACAATCAGAAAATGTGGAGCTGAATACCTAGGGGAATTCTAATACCGATCTGTTCCGATCGAAACGGAGATCTGTACTCGTCTGGATTGCTAACTATACTAGCGCTATGTAAACTATCCAATGAGAGTGCTTTTCGGTGTCCGCAATTTTGTCATACTTTATTAACCAGTTTGGAATTAGCCCCATTATCCTCGATACAATCTATGCTACTGTATTGTTCATCTGTCTAAGATTCCCTCTCCTTATTTCCGACTCTACTTGCGTGTCTATAGCGCATTCCTCACCCTTACTAAAAAGTTTCTTACAAATAGTCTGTTCGCGCTCCTCCCTCCTCGTTTCACTCCTAGTCGCAAAGTAGTCGAACCATATCCCGAGCTGTTGAATATAAGCGACCCGACTGTCTCAGCGGCTATAGGTATTGGGGAGTGGTTGCTGATTCCTTGAGATTATCAAAGACAATAGCAGTAGCATTCCGCCCTTACACGATGATTGCAAGGCTTCACGGCAGTTATGTCGAATCTCAGGTACGATCCCCGAACCGGAACGCTCGCTAGGCGAACTCGTCAGACTATATACAAATACCCATTACTATCGACCTACGCAAAGCCTTTATCGTCTTTTGCATTCGAGCCCACCCCAGCCCCCGTCACCAAGTGCGCCTTATCGGAGCTCCGTTAACTCCATGATCGATTAGCGGTGAGGATGATATAGACGGATCAGAAAACCGGGATTTACACCAGCGCCACGGGCACCATTCGGACAGGGGACGATCAGGAAGCTATTCTGTCCATATCGGTGTGTTAGCAGGTTTTATTTTCGATCCTGCGCCACGTAACGACTGGCAACCAGAGCTCTATCCACCAATTAGTGATAACCGGACGCAGGCGATATAGTTCCCCGGAAATAGCAACAGCACTCTATAGTGTGGCCATTAGACCAAAGGGATGAGCGGATGAGTCATTCGTGCGGTAGTGTCCTGCACGATATATCATCATAGAATCGATTGGTAGGTAGGTCTCGCCGGGACGCTGCTGTGGCGGCTTCTGCCCTTTAAGCTTAAGATATCTCCGAGCGAGTCAACCTAAGCTTACAGGTCGAGTAAGGCGTAGTCGGTCTGACGAGAGGTATAAAGCCATATATCTCGCACGACGTCTTAGTGAAAAAGTAGTCGAGAATCCAAGTCCGCCTTTCTTTTCATCCAAGCGCTTGGTGTTTTTCATATTATCACATACGTATTTAATTCCGTCTTTTATACTAATTCAGATCAATATAACGCCTTTTACGGATGATGAGCACGACACCTTCAGTAAGACTTCTTCTGAAAGCATAATTTATTCCACTAAGTTCATATGGGAAAGCTTCGATCCCCACTAAGCCGTGTGAATTCCTCACCTTCTCTTCTAAGCATGGCAAGCTTCATTTACCTGTGTCTGGTAGAGACATTATTTCGCAAGCTGGGGAGTTCGACACCGCACCTGAACCTTTAATTACTAGCGGCGCTACATCAGAAGCTAGTCATTCCGTTGGAAAGGACCTACCATATAGCTCCCAGGGTGCGACATCGGTGAAACGCGAGTTATCACACGACGGTATCCGCTCTGAACCCAGACGATCGGAGCGACTGACCAAAAGAGCAAGAGCTTGAAGGCGATGTCCGTGGCATGGCATGTGCGTAATAGCCGCTACTTAGCTTCACCACTTCCGAATAACCACGGTGTCCACGGCTCACAAGTCTACATTTTACTTTACTCAGCTTCATGGTGATATGGTGATATGCTTTACCACCTTGTTGATTGTTGGAGAACACTTTGCATTTCTATTTGATCGCAATCTACAGCTGAGCTTTCTTTTCAACCTATGGAATGTCTATACCACTCGATAGTAAATCCCAGTTGCTCTGGCTCTCCTAATGAAAGCATATGAAGAAGTCCGCGCTTCTCCAGGTTCTGACAGAATATCTTTTTGGAAGAAATATCATCTGCTAAGTCGTTTTGACCGGTGCCACGGCTATAGCCATCCAGTTCTCCACCATTAGCTACTCCAGGCTTGGTTGTTCGGCTGGTGCAACAGAGCACGAAATCCCACCAAGATCTGAAACGTTTCCATAACCCCCGAAAAACGCGGCCTATAACCGTACGCCATTGCGGCGTGGATGTTTTTTCGGCTTCGGTCTCTCCGGGGTTGTTTCTTCCAAGAAGGAGCGTCTCTGTGTATGCCGCCAATTCCGCAATCGTGGCATAATTGTTGTGCCAACATTTGCTGATGATCTCGTCAATTAACGGATCACCATCTAACTTCGGAAATTCCATGTCCTGCAGCAACTCCACAACTTTACGTCCGTGCTCTTTAGGATCCTCGGTAAGACATTGATCACCGTAAACCTCAAACCCGTAATTTATGAGGTAGTACAAAGAGCCTAAGGCGAACTGTTCGGTTCGAGGACCTAGGAAACCGGAACTTCCACGTCGTCCTTGGTCCTGCTCGTCGCTGTTGAGTAATCTTCCATATGGGGCCATGCAAGCTTCAAAATCGGTCCCAATTTCTGCTGTACAATCAAAATCTGAAAGTTTTAATCGGTTGCGATCAAGCAAAATATTTTCGGGTCGTAGATCACCATGAGCGAGATTTAGCGATTCTAGAAAAGCAACGGCTTGAGCGAGGTCGTTCATCCATTCCTTTCGTAGGGCTAGAGGTTCCAATTTCTCCACTTTAGTAACGACAGAATATTTCAGGTCCCGAATATGATTATTCTGTATCCTAGAACAGAGAGTAACATCTGATGAGGCGGTTAGTGGAGGCAATTGTTAAGCACCGATAAGGATCGCACCTCGCATGTACTCAAGGAAAATGCCGTTATCCGCATAGAAGAAACACTGCACCATGGAAGGGCATGGTGGATGCTGAGAAAAGATCTCATAGTTTTTGAGTTCTTTCCGAAATTGCTCTCTCTCAAAGTCGCCGGACTTCGGGACCTTCACCACAATGCGAGGATGGACCTCATAGACGAAGGAGATGGCTCCTTTCCAGACCCAGTGCACATCGGGGAACTGCTTCTGGATACTCATAATAAGGATAACATGTAGTCAGTGGGAAGAGGATGCGCAGAAAAATAATATTTCCTGCGTATGAGGGAGGTGAGCAGTGAGGAGAAAGGGATATCCAGGGGGAGGTTGGATTAATGAGCTTGCTTGAGGAACTATTCTTCATGCCTGTATTTTAAGGCATGAACATTCTAACCAAGTTGGGTTAGTTAACTAAATCAATTAGTTAATTGAGTTCTGTAACCTAGCGTGAGCCAGTCGCTTACTTAATCATAAACTCCACGGTTATTGGAAGAGCCCTATACTGTGCACTTCTCACTGATCATTTATTTTGCACCTTACTTGTTTGGAATTAAAACAATATATCTCGTTACGGTCTATATTCTCAGAAAATGGTGCCTAGCGAGCTAGATATTGCACGGTAATTAGATACCGCCTCTTTGGGGTCCGTTAAAGTCCGGGAACTGAATCGACTCGTTTTTGAAGATATAGACGTGCCCGGATCTCGGGCGCTGAATCGGACTCGCGTTAAGAATATCATTCATCGATTCAGTCATGAGGGCTGTCGCCGGCTTGATCCACTCACTTGGATACCTTACGAAGTATCTAAGTCTATTCTCCAGTCGCTATTAACTATCGATTTAAGAAATTTACGTAGAGATCTTCCTACCGACCTACAGCTTCCAGAAGGATCTGGGCTATATTATCTTTAGGGCTAATATCGAATTGCCGCGGCAGTCGAGTGGTTAGAGCCTAATGATCTTTGGTGGAATTTGATACTCTACGACTCCGAAAAGCTGAATGACGATTGCCGTAACCGACTTCGAGAGGCGTAAAATGGATCTTAGGTCTTTAGCGACGGTGAAATATTCCGAAATTTTCGATATTATTAGCTTCGTGGAGAAGAAAAGCCAGCGTAAGAATGGCTGGTAAAATGGTCTTCGATAAAATACCGGGACTTTAACCGAATCTACGAACCAAAAAAAAGCAAGGATAAATGGAAAGATCTTATAAGCAGGCTAGATTCGTTACTCGTGTTTCCTGCTCTATAGATCTACTGGTTTATGGGAATCCACTTAGCAGATTTGAAGTGCCCAGAGGTTTAGCTGCCCCCTTCTTTCTAAATTGGTCACGCACGAAAAACTGATTTATATATAAAGGAGCTTTCTGTATATATCTATAAAATATATTCTGCGTGGATCTCTCTTATATATGGTAACCCTTAAGCTTTAGATCCTGGGACTCTTGAACTTCTTCACGGCCGTTATCCCCGCCTCTTATTGGATGATCGCAGATTTATTCATTAAATATTCAACGATAATCTGGCCTTCCTATATATCAGTGATACTGCTTCTCGATCGTAACTCTTATAGGCCTCTTTGAACTACCCAGAAATTATACCTTCTTTACATCTATTCCTAGAGAATATTAAGTACTTGAAGCTAATGACAGATATAATGAAGAAAATTTTACCTTATAAATTCAAAGGTACGATTCGATAAGCTATATTGTGATATTTTGTCCCCACTTCGAAGAACCGAATATAGGTATTAGAGAATGATTTTGAAGAAACAGAATGTAACAGCCGGGAAGATTTGTTCTGGTTAGCTTATCGACAATGCTTTCTGTTTATAATGCGTTACTTTTTCGGGCTAACTAATATCCACCCGCGCGGTTAGAGCTAGTCGTTAAGGCCCTAATAAAAACTTGAGTATTTAGACCTATGGAAGCGGATAAAGCTTCTCCTTAAGTATTTGGGATTTATTCTGGATCGATCGCAGAAGGTTCAGGCGCCGCTAAGTACAGAATACATAGTTATTCAGGCACTGCTTACCCGTCTAAGACCGCCGGAGCTATTTAAATATAACTATAGTATCTTAGCCGAATGTAGTAACTATATTCCCACCGTTCTGTTATAAATCAAACCGCGGACTATTAGCTCCCGGCGGCCACTATAAAGTATAGATGTTACGCAGAATTAGTCTCTCACGTAACGTTACGGGATGACCGACACGGATACGTTTTTTTCGGACCGTAAGTATCTTTTTTTGCGGAATATCTATTCACCGGATGATGAACCTCGTGAGAGTATTATATCGTTTACGGTAAAACGCGATATTTTTAAATCTTTCTTCCCTAATAGCTGGGATATAGAGACTATAGCGGCATTTCTAACGGCTGCTCCACGTGGGAACGGTGTAATAAACGTACTAACAGATTTGACTCGGAAATAAGACACTCCGATGCCTGATACGATATCTCAATTAAACATTTCTAGTGGGGATAATTAGAATAGCCTCTAGGTTATCCATATACGGGACCATCAAGACGTCGTAATACGCGATACGGATTCTGATAACACTATTCAGCTAATAAGTAATAGTGTTGTTCTTAGTTCCTCGTAAATGACCACTAATAATTAACTATATATCCGTCTATTACTAGGAGAGACAGCCAGCCACTAAATTGGTACTACTTCGCTCTCGATCACCTCGTAATCACACGCTAGTTATAAATACGTCACTGATATAACGCTAGACTCCTTCTAGGCATCTTATAAACCCTACTTATTAAGCCTTCCTTATGTGATATTATTCGGCGTCTCGAGATATAAGGTGCAATTTTTAGGATTATCTAACGCCTATATAGTTTTTGAATTCGCCCCGGAGATTAACGCCGGGTGGTGTGTAAAAGTTAAAGAGCTTCCTGGGCAATGTCCAACGCTTAAAACTCTTACTAGAGCCGAGATCTAGCCTCGGGCGATTAAAGGTGGCATCCTTTTCTACGGAGATACGGGTGACTTTCGGTCTACTTTAAAGCCGTATACTACGACGGTATCTATCACCCTACCTTTATTTAATACTATCGATGGAATTTAGAAGACTCTAAGAATGATTAAAGACTGAGATAATGATCTGAACTGAGCTGGCCATCATGTTGCACTAGGGATCTATGACACCAGAAAGCTCCATACGGAGAACATCCTATTTTTCCTAAGGTTCCATCGTAGAAACTAAGACGCACCGTCGCCAAAAAAAAGTAGGTTTTTAAATCCACCTACTAATATCACAATTCTACACTCTCTATACTAACTAAGATTGTAATTGGTCGCGAGCAGAATCAACGTGGCCCTTAGCCATGAGAAGTGTTCGCGTAGCTTCGCCCTATAGGTCGCCTTCTCATATATATAAGCCTAGAATTCAGGGCAAACGGGTAATCAACCTTACCAGTCTATAAGCTAGTAATCCTGTGATTATACTATAAGGGTTCGTCTGACACTCTTTCGAGCTTGAGTGCAGTCTCGACGTCGGTCCTCACGTTCCCGTTATAAAAGGAAAATCTCCTTGTCTAGCTATATAATGAGATTGTGGGACCGATCGATGGAGGCCACTAGAGTGGCTCCTTCCCGATTCCACTGTTCGAGGCGATCCATCTCAGCGCTTCGCCGCCGGAACTTGGTTTCAATCTTCTCACAAAGCCGGCACTTACTGTTCTCGTTCTCTGCCATATTAATAAGCTTCATCCCGCACGTTTCGCCGGTGCGGTATTCGTAATTACACCGGTGGGTGAAGCTGCTCTATCTCCAGTCCCCACAGGAGAAACGTTTCTGGTTGTAAAAGCATATGCCTATTAGATATATTAGTGCCACTCGCTTCTTCGGTGCTATTAAACTCACTACTCCTGGACCCGGTGAATTTATTTCAGGTTTCAAAGGGGAATATACGATTGGCTTTTACTTCTTGCTGAAGCTCGCTTAACCAGCTCAAAAATGGCTACCCTGAGTGATTGTCACCTGAGTTTGACCTTTCACAGCTCATCTGGAGGACATAAAAGGCTCTATTTACCCCTATTTATGTTTCGTTGACATTTCCATCCCGTTATCTCTGAAAGAATTTCTGCGAAACATGGAATTCTGTAGCCTTGTATACTTTGGCGTGTCCATCATAAGTCTACGCTGTATAGGAGTGAGAATTCCTAGCTATCTAAGTGTGATGAAATTCTTAATAGGCTGGATTAGTAAGTTTCCCCACTCCACTTCGAAGCGAGAATGAGCTAACGAATAAATTTGCTGCCTACTCCAGCAAGCCTAAAATAACAGACACGGATACTTTGTTTCCGACCGTAATTATTTCTTTTTCCGGAATATCTATTCGCCAGATGATGAACCGTGTGAGAACGTTACGTCGTTTGCGGTGAAGCGGGACATTTTAAGTCGTTCTTCCTATTCCTAAGTAGTAACGATGTAATAAATATATAACACTAACAGATTTGACTCGGCGCTAAGATACTCCGGTACCCGATATAATATCTCACCTAGATAGTTCCGTTGGGAATAATAATCAGTATACCCTTAGGATACCTATATACCGGAGTATAAATTGTCACGATGCGTGATACTGGTTCTGAGGAGACCGTTCAGTCTATTTCCTGAAAGTTCCACCATAAAAAATAAAACTCACTTCTAGTACGGTAATTCTAAACCCTCTTTAACTAAAACTGCACGAGGTCGCGAGTAGAATCGATGTGGCCCTTCGCCATAAGAAGTGTTCGCGCAGCCTGGCTCTGTGGGTTGCCTTTTTATACGTATGAGCAAAAAGTTTAGAGTAAAGCAGGTATTCTCCCTTACTATTCTGTATATCGAGCTATTCGACTATGTGTATATACTATAAGAGTTCGTTTGACGCTCTTTCGAGCTCGAGTTTAGCCTCGATAAGGCTGGGCTACTTAACCGCGGTAATAGTTCTATCCCGAAACCCTCTAATGACTGAAGTTATACCACCATACCTGATAACCGAAGTTTGGATTATAAGATCTCGAAGTTCGTTCTCGATAGGACTTAGCTTGTGAGAATGGGCTGTTGATAGATATATCGAACTTAGTAGGTAAAAGTGGAAACCTAGTGTAAGTATTTCACCGATTTTTTTCGCGGTCTGAAGAGTCTTGAAAACCTGAAAGGCATTCACTGCAGAAATGGAATATTGTAGTAACTTTAGTTAAATAGTTATTCTGGGAAGCCTAGAGACTCAGCCTTAGCGCGTGCATTATGAGTCTTTACTGTATGTGGGTCATATTAGATGAATACTTATTGAGTGA